ATTTTGAACAAAGCTCCTCTAAGAAGAGCTCAAGAATAAAAAGATAGAACTAAAAATAATCCTAACAGGTCCATGCGACTTTGGAAACTGGCCTGACCAAAATAAAACTATTTACCAACAACTATAGTTCCACTTAAAGCCTTATTAAGTAAACGAACTAAGTCGGAACTTCCCTTCAGTCTGTGAAACATCCAGAGGAAGTATGAGCTTCCTCTGGAGAAGTATGATCTTCTTACTGAATCTAATTTGATGGCTCCTAGAGCCGATAACAACAAAACGCACATCTTGGTATTCAGTACATGTTGTGCTGATAATATACTGAACACTCAAATAAGCTGAAGTGTGAAGACATGTCTGATCTATTCATGATATTAGTCTGAGAGTCTGCACTCGTCTTTCACATGCACTGCTTTGCTCAATACTTGGGCAAAGTGAACTATTTAAAACACATCCTTTATATAAGCTGTATACCTGAGGTACCACAGCACCTGTTTCTTGACAGCTATACAGCATCACTGAGCCACATACAAGCAGCCCACCTGCTCACTGAAGCTCAACTACATCTTGTTCCAAGCATATAAATATGCAAACGATGTTGCTGAATGTTAGAAAAAGAGAACTGAGTCTTAGTTCTGCTTTTCTGTCATCTCACCAAATTTGAGCTCCAGGTTTTTCTCTAGCTGATCCAACTTCTCAGATAATTTCCCCAACATGGAGCGTAGGAAAGCGATGTCTTGGTCCTTCTGAGCCAGAGTGAGCTGCATCTCATGGAATCTAAGCAGTCAGACGTCACATTAGGATGGAGAGGTTAACAGAAACGGTTCAGCACAACAAAAGTCTGTTCATCTGAGCTCACCTGTCGTCAGTCTGCTGCAGAAACTCCTTGAGGCCCTCAAATTTACAGACCTCCAGGTGTGTTTCATATGTGTCCTGGTTGCCTATGAATGTGCAGCTGTTGGCAAGGAGACAAGATGCAGATTACTGACAAGTAAAACAGAAAAAATATGAATACAGCAAAGTAACAGCGCCAATGGAAAAAAGCAAGAAATAACTTCATAGAATGAACAAAATATGCTGAGAAAGGTGAAAATAAGACATCAAAGCGCTGTTTTTAGGATTACCCATATTTGGAGTGTGGACATTTGATGTGTTCGCATTCTTTGAGGTGAGCCTCCAGGTTCATGGTGAGCAACGGCGGGCAGGAGGGGTTGTTTGGGCATCGCACGGGCCTGTAGTCACAGCTGGCCTCGTGTTCTCTGCAAACAGATGTTGGGACGATGAAAGCAGAAAATGTTTTTTAACAGGATACAAACAGACCACACAGCTCTTTGTTTCACTTTAGATTTCAGAAATGTTTCCTTACTTGCGTGTAGATAGTTTGATTGTGAAGGGGCAGCCCAGCGGGTCCACCTCGTAGGCTCCAGGTTTCCCCGCCACTGAGGTGTTGGAGGCCGTGGCGCCGGCCGCGCTGCTGCCTACAGCCCTGCAGCCGTATTTACAGTGGATGAAGAGCTCTCCAATCTGCTCGGCTACTGCAATGTTGTTCACCACAACCGTTAACTTAGCTGCATCCACAGGGCACTTATCTGCAAGGAGCACAAATATTAATTAGGT